TAATGTCCACATTGACATGTGTTGTGAGTATAATTCTGGATATCAAATATGTGTTGTGAAAAATAATGTAATAAATTAAAATTAATAAATTTTAACATTATTGCATCTTTAAAAGTTTTAGATATGCTAATAAAAGAAATTTTACTTTGCCATTTTAAAAAATGTTTAAAATAATGGGGGAGGGAGAGTAGCGATGAACTTCTTCAACTTGACAAAGAACATCTATAAAAATCCTACAGGGGCTATCATATTTAGTGGTAAGAAAGAAAATGCTTCCCTTCTAAGTTTGGAAAAAAGACAATGAAGCCCACTTTCATTACTCCTGTCCAACACAGGACTAGAAATCCTAGCAACACAACAGGGCAAGAAAGGAAATCCAGGGTATACAGGTCGGGAAGGAAGAAAACATATCTTCCTTTGCAGACAATACGTTGTCTTTGCAGAAAATTTTGAGGAATTGACAAAATTCCTGGGAACTAAGAAATGGTTATGGTAAGGTTAATAAACAAAAGTAAATTGCTTTCCCATGTACTAGCAAAGAACAACTGAAATTTGAAATAAAAAACTGACCTAGATTTAACATTACCACTAAAAATATGGCTACTCAGGGTTAACAATCCACATGGCTTTTAATTTCCTTTTATTCAAGAGTTCTAGACTATTCCAAGTCTTTTATCTGATTCGTTAGTTCTCAAACTGCTGTCAGATGAATCTTCTTGAAGCATAGCTATCCTTCACCATTCGCTAAATACGTGTGGGGTCCGTACTCTGTGCCAGTTGTTCTTCCAGCTGCTTGAGATACAACGGAGCACAAGGAGTTGGGCTGCTGTCAAGGTCAGCAGTTGGAAACCACCACGGGCTCCTGGGGAGGCACAGGCGGCTTTCTAGTCCTGTGAAGGTTTCCAGTTTGGGAAACCCAGGGGTGTGGTTCCACTCTGCTCCATATGCTCCAATGAATCAGAATCGATGCTATGGCAGTGAGCCTGCATGAAGCTTACCTTTTTGTTGTGGAAGACAGGCAATGGGTCAAAACCTAACATGTGCATACATATGTTTAACAGGCTGAGGGATTGGGGAGTGCAGTACAGGATTCAGAGGGGCTAGAGCAAGCAGCAGCGGCTGGGAAGAGTGGTAGGAGCTGAGGCCCCTTGAATCACAGGT